CGCCACCACCTCACGCCAGCCGCTCCTGGCACCTCCAACCAGGCTGCACAGCAGCGCCGGAAGCAGCTTCTGCAGGCTGGCGCTGCTGGGTGCGGTTTGCTGGGGCGCGGTCAGCAGGCGCAGCGCATGGGCGCAAGCCTTCTGGCACACCGCCGCCGCCGCGGCCGCCTGCTCAGCCCCCGGCCACACCAGCAGCACTGCCACCGCCACCGCGAGGCTGTCCAGGGTGGCGGCAGGGCCGCCTGCCGCGGCACCGCAGGCCCCCAAGCCATTGGCAGCTGGCGCCTCTGCGACTTCCATCGCCTCCGCCTCCTCCTCCTCCTCTTCGCTGTCTGGTATGACAATCTCCGCATCGGTGCCGCCGGCGGCAGCTCCCGACCGGCACGCCGGCCCTCCCGCCGTGCCGTGCGCGGGCCCCGCTGCCAACGGCTGGATCAGTGTGTCCAGGGGCGGCGGCGTTGGCAGGTGCGGCACGTGAGGCGCGCCGCCGCCGCTGCTGGCGTCAGCTGGCGCGGCGGGGCTGCCCAGGTACAGCGCGCAGCACAGGCGGAAGGCGGGGTCGGCGGCGCCGGGCGGCAGCAGGTCGCTGGCGGCGCCGGCGGCGCCGGCCTCGAGGCGGAGGAACTCCACGAGCGGCAGCTTGCCTGCAGGGTGGGGGCAGCAGCAGGGGCAGGGCAGTCGGCGGCCGCCCCGGCTCACATGCTAGCGGCGGCAGACAAAGCGGTGGCTGGCAGGCGACCGCAGCTCTTGAGCGGCAGGCGACCGCAGCGGGCGCCGCACGGCGGCCCGGCCGGCTTGCCTGCGGCGGCAGCCAGCAGGGCACCCGTCTCGGACTGCAGGCAGGCGAGGCAGGCCTGCAGCGCCTGCTCCACCGCGCCAGGCTCGGGCCGCGGCCGCTTGGCCGCCCTGCCCTCGCCCCCAGCCGCTGCCGCGGCGCCGCCGCCGCAGCCGCAGCCGCAGAGCAGCTGCCGGGCCACAGACAGGCGCAGCAGCAGCCAGCGCTGCAGGTGCAGCGCGGCAGGGCAGGCCGGGAACACCAGGCTGGCCGCCAGCTGGCCGCCGTATGCCTCGCTGCAGGGCGCGGCCGCCGCCGGCCGGCGCCAGCGAAGCAGCAGTGCGGTGCTGGTGCCACCCTGGGTGCTGCCAGTGGCGGCTGGCAGTAGGCAGTACTGCTGGAAGTGGCGCAGGCAGCTCAGGTGGGCCGCCGCAAATTGGCCTGCACGCGCCATGCCCGCTGCGCTGCGCAGGGGCAGGCCTTCCAGCAGCTGTTGCAGCCAGGCGGGGCCCGGCACCTCGCCCGGCACAGCCCCGCCGCCGCCCTGGCCGCCGCCTCCCCGCCCAGGCTGCTGCTGCCAGCGCCACAGAAACAGCGGCTGGAGGGTGGGCGCGGCGGCGGCGGCGGCGGCGGTGGCGGCGGCGGCCCCGCTTGGCTGCTGCTGCTGCTGCTGCTGCTGGTGGTGCGGGTGCGGGTGCGGGTGCACAAGCGCCCCAGCCACTGTGGCCAGCAAGGCAGCTGCCTCCAGCTCCCGGCCGCCCCGCCCAGCCCCCTCCTCCTCCTCCTCCTCCTCCTGCTGCTGCTGCTGCCCCCCTGCTGCTCCTGCCGGCTCCCCGCCCTGCAGCAGCACGTGCCGCAGGCGGCCCAGCAGCGGCCCATGCAGCGCCGGCTCCCGGTGCGCGATGCTCAGCACGTGCGCCGCCACCGCCACCACCGATGGGCCGCCACCGCTGCTGCCGCCGAGGCTGGCGCAGTAGGCGGCCGTCCAGGTGCTCACCAGCACCCGTGCCAGCTGCTCGGGGCTGGAGGCGGCGCCTGGGCCGCTCCCACCTGGCCCACTGCTGAGCCCGATAGCTAACCCCTGCTGCTGCTGCTGATGGTCTGGGCGCTGGTGCTGCTGCTGCCACGCCTGCAAGTGCTCCCGCACTAGGCGAGCCATGCGGTCCAGAAGCTGGTGGCCGGTGATGCCGTCGGCGCCGGCGCCGCCGCCGCTGCCGGGCGCCAGCAGCAGGTGGGGGGCTCTGTCGGCCAGCTGCTGCAGGGTGGCTCCGTCCAGCTGGGCCCGCAAGCACTGCCGGTGGTACCGCTGCACCGCCTCTGCGCAGCCAGCAGCCAGCACCGGCAGAACAAGTTCTGTCAGCACCATGCATCCAGGGAGGGGGCAGCTATTGTGCGCCCACCGACACCCATTCGCAGCCGCACCGCCACACCAGCACCGGCTCTGTCCACAAACGCTGGCGGCAACCCCACCCATGGCTGCGGGCCCCCCCACCTGGGCAGAAGTGCTGCCTGATGTGTGTGTCGCCGCGCCTGGTCAGCTCCCCATGCAGGTACTGCAGGAAGGGCGTAACAGAAACAAAAGAAAGATGAATAAACAAAAATGAGCAGCGGCGGCATGGGTGCGAGATAAGATATAACCCCTGAAACGACACAGCGCGGGCCCCATCTCAGCCGCCTCCCACCCAGAGCAGGACAGCAGCGTGGCCGGCGGGCAGGCGCCAGGCAGCGCAGCAGTCAGTTGTGGCGCGCGCACAGCAGCCGGCGGCGGCCGGCGCAGCGGCGCTGGGGCACGCGCCTGCATGAGCGCCGCACGCTGCGCGGCGGCCGCCGCATCCCCGCAGGGCTCCAGCAGAGCGGGGACCATCATGCCGTGCAGCGCTCCCCTGGTGAACATGCTGGCCGCGTTGGCCTGAGAGGGCAGGGCGCAGCAGCAGCAGCAGGGGGGACTCAGGGGCGTGGGCGAGTGTGGCTTTGGTGTGGTGTGTGTGGGTCGGGCCAGGCATGGGCAGCACAGCGGCGGGTGATGAGTGCAGGCGATGCAGGCAGGCTGGCGCGTAGCAGCCGCCGGCAGGGCAGGCAGGCCGGGGCTGCAAGGGCGCGCGGCAGCAGCCAGCGCAGCCAGCGGCGGGGGCAGGCGCAGGGGCGCTGCCTGCCCACCTGCATGGCGGCCAGAGTGGCTACCTTCAGCTGGCCGCCGCCCAGCTCGAACTCCTGCATCGGTGGCCAGCAGGCAGCAGCTGAGGTGGGTGGACCAGGGCAGGGCGGCAGCCTCACCAGGCGCCTCCCGAGGTGCCACACCTGCCTCACACACCTGCTGCACATGTGCCACCACCTGCCTCACACACACACTGCAGATGGACCAATGGTTGTGCAAGCAGATGGATGGTGCCAAGCAAGGCCAGGCCCCTGCCCAACCCCCACCTTGAGCAGCCCCTTCACAATCTCCCGCCCCTTGTGCAGGTTGGAGTCGGCGGTGCCGGGAGAGCCGCCGCCGCCCTGCCCGCCGGCGCGGCCCGGCGCCGCGCCCGCCCCGCCGTCCCCGCCTCCCCGCTGCTCCTCCTCCCGCTCCTGCGCCGCAGCCTTGAGCCGCTGCTGCGCCATGCCTAAGTACTCCTCAGCCGCCTGCTGGGCGCTGGGCGGCAGCGGCGCGTGCTGCTGGCGGGCGCGGCGCAGCAGGGAGGCCAGCGCGTCAGCCTGCGCCTGCACCCAGCAGGGTCCGTCCTCTGGCAGCATGGGGACCAGCACCTGCTGCACCAGAAACTGCAGGTGCGCCTGGTGCTGCGGGGCCAGCAGGGTGCCTCCAAACCAGGAAGCGTAGCGCTGCTCCGGGCCCGGCAGTGGCTGCTGCTGGCTGGGCACCCACTGCGGCAGCAGCTCGCGCATCAGCGCCAGCAGGCCGCTCAGCGCACTGCCCGCGTGCGCCGCCAGCGAGGCGCCCGTCGCCTGCTGCACCCAAAGCTCGATGCGTGTGGCGGCAGCAGTCTCGGTGGCGGCCGCCGATGCCAGCGCGGCGGCGGCGCGGCGCGTGTGCAGCACGCCCTGGGCCACCGCGGCCTGCACCTGATCCACAAGCACCTCCGCCGGCAGGGCAGCAGCAAAGGCGGCCATGGCGGCACGCCACGGCGCGCCGCCGCTGCCGTCGCCCTCTGCACCTGCTGCTGCCTGGTGGCGGAGCTGCAGGCCGTCATCGCCTGGCGCCAGCTGCAGCACCCGCCCCAGCTCGGCCGTCAGCCAGCTGCGAGCAGCAGGGAGGCGACACACGTGAGGGAAGCGCACACACGGGCATGCCAGGAAGGCTGCAAGCTGAGCACCCCTGCCATACGTGAAGCAAGCTTGCAGCAGCAGCAGCAGCAGCAGCGACTGGGGCAGGCGGTGCTCCCCCTGCCACCACACCTGCGGGCCCGCTGCCTTGGGAAGACCTCCGCCTCCACCACCTCCACCGCCGCCGCCAGCAGCGCCGCGCCGTCAGCACTGCTGCCACTGCCGTCGTCCCCTCCGTGGCTGATGCCGGACCAGGCCTGGCGCAGCTCTTGCAGGCAGCGCTCCGCCCGCTGCTGCTGCTGCTGCAGCTGGGGCGTGGGCTGCTGCTGGAGCTGCTCCGCCCCGCCGCCGCAGGTCACTAGCATTTTCACCACGGTGCCACAGGCCTGCCGCGCTGCTCCACGGGCTGCCGGGGGCAGCGTGCCGCTGCTGGCGGCGGCATGCAGGCCCGCCACGGCGGCAGCCCAGCCGGCAGGTGGCAGCGCCGCCAGGAGCTCCGAGCTGTGCACGATGCTGCCGCCCAGCAGCTGCGCCAGCAGCATGCCCATGGCGCAAGGGTGGCCGCTGGCATTGGCCGCCGCTGCCAGGACCGTCGGGGGGTCTGGGTGCGCAAGCAACAGCGCACGCAGCGAGGCGGCGTCACCGTCGGCGCTGCCGCTGCCCGGCGGCAGGGTGCAGCAATCCAGTGCGCCGGCCAGTGCACCCTGCGGGGCGTGACCCGCCGCCTCGGCCACCAGCAGGCGCTGCACGAGAGGGTGTACGAGAGCCATGGCGGCCTGATCAGTTGTGAGATGGGCAAAATGGCCGACCTGCAATCCCTGCAGCCCCGTAGACCATCGCAGGGAATGGAGGGACGATCCAAATTGACTTTGGAGGCCTGATCGAGAACAAAAGTGCACGCTGCTGCTGAGACTGCTGCGGCATTGGCCCCGAGTCTCTTCGATCGGGCCAGCCAGACAGCACCATCCAATTGAGCGGCGCCACACTCAAATGCTAGGCTGCCGCCTACTGGCCCAGCATTTGCGCCTGTTGACCTGTGGAGCCACTCGGGCCGCTGCGAGCAAGCCTTTGAGTGCAGCCGCCAGGCTCGGTTCGCAGCAGCCGTTGCGCAGCAGGGTGTGCCAGCAGCGGCAGTCCCTGTGCGCCGCCGGACGGGCCCCCGCCAGCACCACCACCCCAGATAAGATGGCGCAGGCCAACGGCAGCAGCGTGACCGCGGAGGAGGTGGAGGCGCTGAGGCAGCAGCTGGAGAGCTTGCAGGTGGGCCAATGCGCGACATGCAAGGCGGCGCGCATGCGGGCGCCGCCGCCGCCGCCACCGAGGCCCCAGTCAGGGTTTGCCGAGCCCAGCCAACCCCTGCCAGCCCTCTCTCCGCTCCTGCACCTCCTCCCTTCCACCCTCCCTCCCTGCAGGCCACGCTGAAGAAGAAGGAGGCGGAGCTGGAGCTGGTGGCCCCCTACTCCCGCTCCTACGGCCGCACCCTGGTCAGCAGCGTGGTGGAGTCAGAGTCGCAGGGCCTGGCGCTGGTGGGCAGGACCATCCGCATCGGCGGCTGGGTCAAGACGGGGCGCGAGGCGGGCGCGGGAGCCTTTGCCTTTCTCGAAGTCAACGACGGCAGCTGCTTCCAAAACATCCAGGTGCGGCGGCGGCACGCGAGGCGGGGCGCGGGCGCAGGCCCGGGATGCGGCCCGGCCAGGCGGCTGGCAGCCGGGTGTGTCCCCCAAGAGGGTACAGGGTGCTGCCCGCAGAGGCGGACGGTGAAATTGTGGGTGGCTGGCCAGGCCTTGGGGTGCCGGCTGTAGCAGGCGCGGCGGCCGGCGTGTGCAGCAGTGGCGTGCGACGCCGTCTGCTGCGCCTGCGCCGGCACTACTTGACCGCTGTGGTGCCCTGTTTGGCGGTGCGCCCTCACCTCTACGCAGCCCCCACCCCATGCAGATCATGGTTGACAAAGAGGTGGGGGACCAAGTTGGGGGGCTGAGGCAGCTGACGCCCACCAGCACCTGCGTGCTGATAGAGGGAGTGCTGGCAGCCACGCCGCCCGGCACCAAGCAGAAGGTTGGCGCGCGGCGGCAGCCGCCCGCTGGGGCTGCTGCGCTGCCGGCTCGACCGCGCGCTCCCCTGCACGCCGCCTGCTGCCGCCAGCCGCGCCGCCGCCTGCACCGAAGGCCGAGAGTGGTGGATGAGCGGGCGCCTGGCGCCCGCCCTGAGCTCCTCCTCTAGTTAGCCTTCGCACAGCAAGCGTGTCTGTTTAAAGCAGCTCCCCCGGGCGGCTCCTCACCGGGCCGCCGCGTGTGGGGCGACCTGCGTCGGACGGTCACGACACACCCCCTCCCTCCCCTCCCTCCATGCACCGCTCCTGCGCTTGCCCGGCTGGCCACCCCGCTGCCGCTGCCGCCGCCGCCGCCGCTGCGCCCGTGTCGCCCGCCCCCACCGCCCTGCTGCCGCTGTGCGTGTGGGTTTGCCAGTGCGAAGCAATAACCAACGCACGCGCGCTCAGCAGGCCGCCGCCGCCGCCCCTCTGCTCCTGCCGCCGCCTGTGCTTGTGTACAGGTGGAGCTGAAGGCCACCAAAGTTGTGCATGTGGGCAGCACAGACCCGGCAGAGTACCCGCTGGCCAAGAAGAAGCAGAGCTTTGAGTTCCTGCGGGACAAGGCGCACCTGCGGCCGCGGTGAGGCGCCGCCTGCGCGCGCGGGCAGGCAGAGGCGCCGTGCAGGGCAGGGCGGCGGCCCCCCGCGCCGGGGTGGCCGCGCCCGGGCCGCAGCCGCGGCGGTCGGAATGCCGGGCGTCGCAGCGCGCTGCATGACCCGCCTGCACCGTGTGCCGCCGGGCCCCGTCGCCTGCCTGCCTGCCTGCCTGCCTGGCTACCCACCCTCGCCGCCCCGGCCCTCCCCTCCCCCGCCTCCCGCAGCACCAACACCATCGGCGCTGTGGCGCGCATCCGCAACGCCCTGGCCTATGCCACCCACCGCTTCTTCCAGGAGCGAGGCTTCCTGTATGTGCACACGCCCATCGTCACGGCCAGCGACTGCGAGGGGGCAGGGGAGATGTTCCAGGTGGGGGTGGGGTGGGGGGCATGCCGCCCCGCCAGGCTGCGCCGCCTGCATGCCCGCGTGCCCCCCCGCGCCGGCGCCGGCACCGGCGCCGTGCGGCGCCCTTGCCTGCTGGCTGGCAGGCGCCTGGCTGCGGCTGGCTGCACGGCCGGCCGGCCTGCAGCAGCGTTGTGAGGCCGACCTGCTGCGCCCTCCCTCCTCCCTCGCTCACTGGCTGCCCGCCTCCCTCCCCGCCCTCCTTTCCTCCCCGCCCTCCTTCCTCCCGCAGGTCACCACGCTGCTTAACAAGATTGACGAGGAGCCTGAGGTGCCGCCCCCCACCCCAGAAGAGCTTGCAGCGCTGCAGGACAGGGTGCGTTTGGCGGGGGCAGGAGGGGCAGCACTTGGAGCGCCTGTGGGCCTGCCTTGGAGCCTGGCCTGCGGTCCGGCTCTGCCTTCCCTCCGCATCCACGGCAGCATCCACACCCTTGAGGCTGCCGGCCAGGCTTGCGCGCCCGCCCAGGCGCCGCGCGTGCGAGCGTGTGCCGACATGCGCCGCCGCTGCCCTGGCCCGCGGCCTCCGCCATGCAGCTGGCGGCGCAGGGCGCGGCAGTGAAGGAGGCCAAGGCGGCGGCTGCGGCGGCCAAGGAGGACAAGGCTCTGGCCAAGGCCAGCAAGGAGGCGGTGGCGGCGCTGCTGAAGCTGAAGGAAGAGGTGGCGAGGGCGGAGGAGGCGTGAGTCGCAACTCTCTGCAGCGGCTCTCTGTGTGGTGGTGTGCGTGCATGCGCGCGTGTGCGTCTGTTTGCGAGGGCTTGTGGCCCCGGCCTCGGACGTTCTGCTTGCCTCCTCCCGGTTGGCCTGCACAGCTGGGCGCACCGATCCCCTCCCCTCCTCAGCCTGCACCCTGCGCCCCGCCGAGCCCCCACCCGCGCACCTCACCCCACCCCCCGCCTGCCCCCGCCCCCCGCCCTCCGGCCCCTCCCCGCAGCGCGCGCAGCGCGGGCGGCCTGCCGCGCACCGCCGACGGCCGGCTGA